ACCCAATGTCATGAGGTTGAGCAAAACTGGAACAGTTTTCTTGTGCATTTTTGAACTTGTCGTTGCCACGCATGCATCTGAGTATCGTTATCCTTGGGTAAAAGCATTAAACAAAAGCTTCGATTCTACATGTCTAAGGGTCCTTCTTTTCTTAATCATGTAAAAACTTTTATTTTATATAATATCCATATCCACACCAAAAAGATGGAGTGAAAAGAAGAGGGCTTAAGTCTTGCTGCAGGATGTTTGGGTATCTGGAGGCAAAATTTAAATGTAACATAAATAATTTATAGTAATTTATTCTAAAATTCTAGGACATTTATTTAGAGTTTATTGGTGATTATAGTTTACATTTTCTATGCTCCTAATATTCTTTCCATGGCTTGGAATTTTACCTGTACCACAGGCAAATTAAGGCATTTAAAAAAAGCCATGAATTTGTTTTTTTCTGTCATTTCTGTGGCTACATTTAGATGGTCCAACTTGGTGGAAATATGGGTGAGCTCTCTGGCATCTACTGAGCTTAGGCACTTATGACAATTTTCCACACAATGGTGGATGTGGAAAATAACTGATTATCTGCCCCAGTGCCCCAGTATGTATATTTGCTGCTGTCAGGTCCTTTGAGGATGGGCTGAATCCATAAAACAGCTTTCATTTTGATACCATGACTAGATAGTTGTTTACAGGATTGTTCAGCACAACACCTTTACACCATATAGAGAAAGGGGCTATGAGTCTTCTTTAATGTCTAAGATCCCGGAGCTTAGTCTTTCTTCTCTCAGATGGAGCAAGGAAGAATATGAATCCCTGAATGATGAGTTTTGTGAATGCATCATTAAAAATTATCTTGTTTGCAGAGTTCTGGGTTGCCTTATTAAAGATTACAACAGCATGCTATCAGTCATCTATTAATGCAGTTTCCTTTTCCTAACAACATCCTGTGGAAATCATACTGGTAAATTCCTTAAATTTTGTAATCAGAAATTATTATTTTATGGGTGCTTACATACAAGCAAAGAATATTGTAGCTTGTTCCATTGGCAGGATCACCACTGTAATGACACCTTAGTCCACAGATATATAATTGCTTAGCAATGTTCTCTGTACAGTATGCTCCTAATTATATAGATTCAATAGAGAATACATGCTGACTCCTAAGGACTTGTTGAAGCAAATATCTAGACTATGGCTAATTAGAGGGCTCTGTAATACTCTCAGTATTAGAATATCATATTAGTCTCAACTCTCCAGGGTATAAATTTGTCATGTGGCTCTTCTGCTAAGTGACATTTGCAGATGGAGGCATGTATTATAATACTTATTATGAAAAGCATTTGGAGTCAGCTCAATTTGGTTTCAAATCTTGTCTGCCACAGATCAGCTAAATGATCTTGGGCAAGTTAATTAACCCCTCTGGACTTTAGTAAAATGGGAAATAATACTACTACTCAACTAACAGAAATTGTTATTGAAGATCACATAAATTCATATATATAAAGAACCTAATACAGTGCCCATCATGTTGTATATACTCAATAAAAGGCCATTATTTTTACTGGTTTATTATCAGATTTGTTGGCTTGAAATCTTTCATATCTCTGCAGCATCTTGACAACTTGACAGCAATGTTTCTTTATTGTAATAAACTAAATCATGGCTTTCATTCACTTCATTGAGAGGACAAGGGCAACTATTACACAGCGCCATTTCCACCCAGTGTTCTACTGCTTTCTCTTTCCAAGTATGGAAAAGCAGTTTCTGCTTTATAGTAAACACTGAAATAATGAGTTCTATGGTAAGTGAACTGGTATTTTTAACCACTAAACGTTCTGACAATATCAACTGCAAGGCTAATTGTTCTCAATCCTTTTAACTGGAGGAGACAATATTTGATCAAGACCACCTTGGATCTTGAAGGGGAAGTTAAGTTTGCTAGATGAGAGTGTTCTAAATGCTCAAAGTCTGGTAAAAATATTCCCTCATATTTGGCTTAAGCCTGATTCCTCCATGTTAACTTTTGGGCTGCCCTAAGTGTTTTTCTGCAACAATCTCACACTACCCCAGAACTTAGATCAGAACAGCTGCCAGACAAAATAATATAGTTCACTTTTGCCTCAGTTGCAACTCTAAGCTTTTTCAGTCTTTCCCTATCTGATTGTAATCATTTTGGATGCTGTCTCACATTGATTCTTGACATTTCCCTGAAACTAATTTCCGTCAACAATAATGAAGAGAATGAAACAAATGTATTAATTACTTTGGTACAGAAATTCCTCAGTACCTTTAAGACATTCAGATGTTCTTGGATACTTAGAATTTTGAGCAGCAAAACATTCAAACATCCATGAACAGAAAGTAAAATAATATAGTGCATTTCTGAGAATATTCCTAATCAATGACTTATTTATTTGAAGAGAGTATGTATCATATTAAAGTTTAAACTTTTGCATGACTAGATTCCTTATAAGTCTGCCTCAAACTCAGGCAGTATGTGTTGAATTTAATCATCTGTTTAACTTGGTTCCTCTTACTTCCATTTGTAAATCAGCCATTTCATGAAAAACCAATCTGTTTTTCTACATTTTCATTTTCTTACTGTTTAATATTTTTGGGTAGTTTCAGACACTGTGTTCAGCAAGTGTTTTATGCAACACGTTAAGAATAGGGCACTAGGGCTAAAAAAAAAAATTGAATTTTCAATAGATCAATCCCTTTCCTTGTGAGTGGACTAAATTCTTGTGTAAATTGTCAGAGTCAATGTCTTTAGATCCTCTGAACAGTTAACCAGTGTCCACATATGTTTGGCATGCCACCAAAATTGGTCAATAAATGAAAGGCAGTATTGAGATTCTTCTGTAGATTTGGAACTCCTAGTTGCTCCCACCAATTTTATAATAATAGAGATTGACTTTTCAGATTACGAATGATTTTAGAGTGTAATCAGCCAAAGAAAAGTACTTTTGACGGGAAATCTTTCAATGGACACATTATACAATTCAAGCGCTGTATCTGTTACATTTAACCGAAAGAGCAAATTACAAGATCACAGACATAGTTCAGTCTCACTAGAGTCATCAAAATGTTACATATGAGAAATTAAATGAATAGCTATAAAGTGTTCATATTCATCATAGTGGAAGAATTGCAGGCAGTGATTTGAAAGCCTCAGATCTAGTCTCTTTCAGTTGAAAACAGCAGAAATGCAACAGCATTCTGAATCTTGACTAACAACCTATTCATCCTTAATTAAAAATTTTTTTACCCGGTACCTTCCAAATATATAGTGAAAAGATTATATGCTGGTGAGAAATAACAGAAAAATGTGGCTTGAATTTCAATTATCCTAAGAATCATAAGGTTATTAACTTTTCATTGAAATAATTTATGAAAGAGATATAAAATGAGAGACAAAAACAGGAGGCAAGATAAGACATAATGATTTGAGGTTTTCAAAAACTCCATCATATGTTTCTGATAATTTTGAACTTTTATGCTTTTTAAGATGTATTAATAATTTATTAAAATTAAGTAAACAGTTGGTTTGGCAAAGCCATGAAAATTTTAATTATAATAAATCAATGGTATCCTCAACCTCATTTCAAAATGTAAATATAGTAGTTACTTATAAACAGATGTTTCTAATTGGCATTCCCCTAATTATAAGACTGCCTCATACACACTCCTTTTATATGAGTAGCTGCTCCAGCCTGTTGACCAAAGGAGCTTCCATCCATGGTCACTGGAGATTTTCCTCTGGTCTCTTCCTTGCTAATGTATATAATAGGAATATTGCAAACAACCTCTTCTCCTGACCTTCTCCGTAAAGGAAAAGAAGAAGGGTAGGAAAAGCATAAGAAACAAGATCACTGGGAAGAAGGGGAGGAGAATATGGTATTAAAGGCTCTGTTTCAGACTACAGAAAGCTCCAGAGTAACGGCATCCCAGGTTTTTCAGAAATAGGTCTCATAATCAGAAATTAATCTATGGGTTTTTATAATTGTGATGAGTTGACAGGGTGTGGACCAGGTTGTGACTCAAAGGTAGGTACAGAGCCTGTGAAGGTTTTATTCATATTTAATTTTTGTCTTTCCTTTTTTTAGCTTCCTCAGGTTGAATAATTTTTGCCTTTCTTTATCATTCTAAAGTTTTATGCAGTCACTTAATGCAATTTGATGAGCTCAAAAGTAGATAGCTTCAATTATCATTGAATAATTACTAATTGATTCAAAGCTGAGACTATTAAACACTGACGGTAGCAGGGCAGGTTTTATAGCTCCAGGTAAATATTTAAAAAGTAAAAAATCAAATGGTCCATGTTGGAGTCAGGCAGGTCACATGTGAGCACAGGCAACATCTTGAATGTCCAGGAAATGCTTGAGATTAGGTTGGGGTGCTTTAATTCCATAGTTTGACAAGCAGGAGTAAGAATGAGAGGAGGGCCTAATTCTTCTGCTAATGCTACTTGATTTTCTCATAGAAAATTTGTTTTCTGTGGTTTCTCAAATCTACAGTTCTATTAGCAAAATTCCTTACATGCTTGATGAATCTAAGTGATGGCAGTCAGCTTGCCTTTGCATTGAATTACTATATAATCATTCTGCTACTGTGAGAAAACAATTTCCTAAGTAATAAATAAGTGACTTACAAGTTAACTTTTGGAAACAAAGTGTTAGAAACTGCCTGTATTCCTTTATTTACAAATATATACAACTGTGAAGCCGGAAACAAAAACAAAACACAAAGCGTCTCCACAAAAATACAAAAAAGTTTTGTCTTTTAAATAGAATGTTTAGATACTATTTGTGTCTTATTCTTAGTATTTGTCAAGCGCACTAGTAAATTCTTTTATCCCTGTGCTGAAAAAGTTTCTAATTGGCTTCAGAGTTAGCTAGCTCATGAAAACACAGTAAAAACACTTGAATTTTTTTCTAACCTTTGTTACTGTAGGAGACAGTATTTTTCTAATTAAAATTGTCAACAAGATATTCTTTTCTTACCTTGTCAGAAGGTTTGAATGGATTTCCTTGTCCACTGATTCCACCACTGATACTAAATCCAAGGCCAGGATTCTTTTCTATTCTCACACAAAACTATGTAAAAAAGATATAAAAAAGTAAGTAAATAGCTATCAAATCTAAATATTTTCAAATAACTGTATTTCAGTAGAAAAGATTCACAATTCACCTGAGTTCTTAGGGTTAGCCTATGTTGACTTGATACAAAAAAAGAGTATCAACTTTGACAAAATGTTTAATGTTTCTATATGCATCAGTTATGATGGAAACTAGCTTGAAATTACCCAGGCAAGACAATATTAGCAAGTACTCATTTGTTACCATATACAGGACTAAATTTTGATTAGCCATTTTTAAAAATTAAAAGTCTTATAAACATTTAAAATACTGTGCATTATTTTAGCTATTGACCATAAATACATTCAGATTGATTAGAACGGACTGTCTGAGTAAGTGAAACAAAATTTTAAAATGTAGAGTGAGAGAATATATGGTTATTTAAATGGATTGTGCCCACTTTGTAGTAGAGTAGAATAATTCATCTGCTTGTTAGATCATTCTTTGTTTAAAAATATTAGATATTTTAATTTGAGAAAGTAGCCACAGCTTATGTAAGTGTGAAAAAAGGGAAGAATGAAATGCTCAGTGAAGAGTTTCTAGTCTAGTAGCAGCTCCTGGAGTAGAAGTTAGGCACTTTAGAAGGAAGAGGAGAACAGTGTGGTAGGGTCTAGTGAAAGAGGTCAACAATGTGGAGACATTGCTGGGGAAAGAGAATGGCCATTAAACGTTTAGGACTGTGAAGGCAAACATTCTAATGTTCTGTGTTATATTACCTCTGCAATACCCCAAATCATCAAAAAAAAGTCCATTAAACATGAAAGCCTTTTGTTTTATAGTAATATGGGGAAATGATGGCATTAAGAGGAGGGTCTGCCGTGAGATAAGCCTGTAGTAAAAATGACAGCAATTATAGAAGTTAATAAAAAGAGTGTAGATCAAGAAAGCAGCAGAAATGACATCAGTGCTGGGGATGACCTAGAGAAACTCTAACAAACCTAAGAATTTCTGGAGACCCTGAGCAGATGTGTGTGTGGGCTGTGGGGAAAATGTTAGATCTCTAGGTAAGGTGGGACAGGGTGTTCCCAGATAAATGAAAGACTTTGTACCAAGAGACAGTATACATTAGTTACATAAAGAAAAATCACTTTATAATTTTATTAATTATTATTATTTATTTATTTATTTTGGAGACAAGGTTGTACTCTGTCACCCAGGCTGTAGTGCGGTGTTGCAATCAGCTCACTGCAGCCTTGAGCTCCTGGGCTCAAAGGATCCTCCTGCCTCAGCCTTCCAAGTAGCTGAGACTTACACGTGTATGCCACCATGCCTGGATAATTTTAGTTTGTTACTTTTTGTAGAGATAGAGACTTGCTGTGTTGCCCAGGCTGATTTCAAACTCCTGTCCTCAAGGGATTCTCCCACCTAGGCCTACCAAATCCCTGGGATCACAGCTGTGAGCCACTGTGCCCACCTCTTTTACAACTTTCAAGTACAGAGTAAGTACTGAAATTAGGTGAACCACGTGTTACCAAAGGTTAGCACACAAAAGATTAATAAAGAGTTAAGAAAAAAAATAAGATGGTGTACTTTAGCTTATATTTTGTATTTACATAACCATCTACTGGATTCTACTGGACTGTGATTGCAAACATTTGCTTTCTTAAGCAGCCCATTTTTCCTCCCAGCATTCTTGCTTAGCCTATTAGTTTGCTTATGGCAAATCTAAATGCCCAAACATTCTTTATATTTTTATTGTGAAGGTATCATCAATCCCTATCTCTTAGTTCAAGGCAGAGTGAGTCCTATTTCTGACTTAATTAGCATACATTATCATTGCAGCCTGGATCAATTGGGTTTGTCTGTTTAATAATCCTATACTTAATTCACTGTCATATTTCATAATAGTAAATATAATGTTTAACTATTAGACAGTTCACTTGTAACACAAGGATGAAAAACTATGCACTAATATAATTTTTATGTAGAGTCATTAATGAGTAGTTTCTAAATTATGAGTAAATGCAAGTACTATAAGTATTATCCCATGTTTTATTTTAAAGATGTTTAATTACAACTTTTCCTGCAATTGAGCTAGATTTGTTAAAACTAGTTATCATAAGTAGTAGAATTTACAGTTTATAATAATTTGTATTTTTACATGGCTCACAGTTTATGAATATAAACTTATAATAGCCTGATGTAGCTGGAAGAAATATTTTAGCTTTATTCAATATGTTAGTCGATCTTTTTATTATTATTTATTAATTAGAAAATGAGAAGAAAGCAACCAATGTGATGAAAACATTTTTCTTTTGTGTTTTCCACGTTTCTATGCATTCCAATTACATTATTTAAAATTGGGGTTACGTCTTTCTAAGGTGAACATTTCATATTGCACAACATAATATGTGGAAGGCATATGCACTTCTGGCTTTCTCCAGGCCACTATAAAACTCAAAGGAAACAAATATAACAGGTTTAATTTACAAAGTAAATTGCTGAGAGTAGTTTCTAGTTGTTCTCTTTCAAGGGAGTGACTATATCTATTTTATATTATTGTAAATCTGAAAGGCACTAAATATCTAAGAGAAACAAATTTCACATGTGCCATGCATATGAAGAACTGCCTCAATATATTTTTTTAATAATAGAAATAATAAAGATGACAGTGTAGTTTTATAAATGTGAAAAACAAATGTAAATTCTGATCTGAAGCTAGACTGCTCTTGGGCATGCTAAGGTATGGCTAATAGGTTGTGTTGTGACTACTGGGTCTCATAAAGTATGTCAGAGAGAGGATTCCTCTCACATATAAGGAGTTCTGCCTGCCTGCTAAGGCCAAAAGAAGCCATAAAATGAAAGAAGACAGAATACTTTAGATCCAAAAAGCAGTCTGAAACTAAAGAGGATCAGCAAAGAGAAAATGTGGTGTTCTAGTAAAAGATCAGGTCTAGAAAGCTAATAAATAGCCTATTTAATAAGAACCAGTATTTTAATTTTCTTTTTATTTATTGCTTATTTTTTTGAGATAGTGTCTTGCTGTTACCCAGGTTGGAGTGCAGTGGTGTGATCTTGGCTCACTGCAGCCTCTGACTCCCATGTTCAAGTGATCCTCCCATCTTAGTCTTTGGAGTAGCTGGGACTACAGGCATGTGTCACCATGCTCGGTTAATTTTTTAATTTTCTTTTTTTTTTTTTTGGGACGGAGTTTTGCTCTTGTTACCCAGGCTGGAGTGCAATGGCCCGATCTCGGCTCACCGCAACCTCCGCCTCCTGGGTTCAGGCAATTCTCCTGCCTCAGCCTCCTGAGTAGCTGGGATTACAGGCACGCGCCACCATGCCCAACTAATGTTTTGTATTTTTAGTAGAGACGGGGTTTCACCGTGTTGACCAGGATGGTCTTGATCTCTTGACCTCGTGATCCACCCGCCTTGGCCTCCCAAAGTGCTGGGATTACAGGCTTGAGCCACTGTGCCCGGCCAATTTTTTAATTTTCTTTGTAGAGATGAGGTCTCACGCTATTGCTCAGGCTGGTCTTGAACTCCTGGGCTCAAGTGATCCTCCCATCTCGGCCTTCCAAAGTGCTGGGATAATAGTCATGAGTCATGGCACCAGCCTCAGTTTTCTTTTAAGAGGCTGTTTTTAAAATACGAAATTTTTGGCTGAAAACATATGCAGTAGTAGTGCAATCAGTGGTCTTTCAGAGTCTGCTTCCATAATTTTACTTTACTTGATACTTCCAGTCTGTGTTAATCTTACTCTAATTACAATACTGGGTCTTATTTTGGAAAGGCTTTTGTGATAAAATGGATAGTTACAAAAATTAGCTCGGCATGGTGGTGCACACCTGTAGTCCAGTCCTAGATACTCAGGAGGCTGAGGTGGGAGGATCACTTGTGACCAGGGGTTTGAAGCTGCAGTGAGCTATGATTGCGCCACTGCATTCCAGCCTGGGCGAGCCCTTTCAGTAAAATAAATAAATGAATAAATAAATAAGAAAGAATAAAGGCTAAAATTCTCCCTGCCTACCTCAGTAAAAAGGATGTAATGACTCCTTGTTAAAACACATGATGAGTTTTAGAAGGAATGCCAGTTATCCACAGTGCCTCAATTATCAATGACTTTGAAATAAACTACTCTGAGAAATCATTATAGCTTTGAAAATAACTGTTTCGGAAATCACGATTTATGACTTTATTCCACAAACATTTATTAATTTCCTACCACATACCAGGCAAATAAAAACATCTTTGACCTCATAGAACTTACATTCTAATGAGGAAGATAGAGACATAAACAACAAACAAGTAATTTCAGATAGTGGGATGAGCTGTGGAAAACAGGAAGAGAGGTAGTAGAGAATGATTGAGAGGGATTGAGAAGCTATTATACTTATTTAAGTTTATTCTTGCCTCAGGAAAGAGTTATTTTAGATAGAGTAGGTAAAAAAGTCCTCTCTGAGTATGTCACATTTGAGTAGAAATGTGAATGATGTCAAGGATCAAGCAATGAACAATAAGAAAAATGAAAAACTATCTCAAGCAAAGGGAATAGCAATTGTAAATGCCCTAAAGATGGACTGGTCTTTATGAAGTCACGAAACAACAAGATGATATAGGGTGGACATATAGATCAATTTAATACAATTGAGAGTCTGAAATAAATACTAACATTTATAGTCAGATAATTTTGACAAAGGGTTCAATGTAATTCAATGGGAGAAAGCAGTCTTTCAACAAATGGTGCTGGGACAAGATACTCACATGCAGAAGAATGAATCTGTACTCATATTTTACACCACACACAAAAGTTATGTAAAGTAGAACAGAGGCTGAAATGTAAGACCTAGATTATAAAACTCTTTGATTAAAATACGAAAGGAGTAAAGTTTGTCACCTTAGATTAGGCAATGATTCTTAGATATGAAACCAAAGATGATATAAGAGATTGATATGTTGGATTTCAACAAAACTAAAAACCTTTGTGCTTCAAAGAAGACCATTAAAAAATGAAAA